ATCTGTTCGGCTGTCTCACGTTTGATTGGACGGTCATAGGTCGCTCAAAGGTTAGCTGATGCGACCATCTACTAGGGTTTTGTGTAACTTATCTTATTCAGTTTTAAAATTTAGATTCATACATGATATAGATTGAGTTCCTTTCCTTCAGGAACATGTTTGAATATATGTAGATGAAGAAAGAACAAGCTCATCTGTTTAAATGAGCGTGAAAAGTAAGAGTATTTTTTCATCACACTGGGGCATAAATTCTCAGAGCAGATGATAAAATTCAGATAAGAAAACTTATTATTATCATAATGAGAATTCATGGCAAGCTTGAGATGGGAAACATAGAAAAAAACAATCAGACATGATACTCTATCTCATTGCCACCTCTCTGACCACCACGCCCTACCAACACAAAAACAGAAATGTTAACACAACCACTTTAGACACAGTTTGGTGCTAAGGTTCTAGCGCCTTTATTTTTTAAATTATTATCTCCCAAATGCCTATTCACATGTGTTTTCGAGATGCTAAACTTAAGGGATCAGCTCTGACTGATTCACTCCCTCATGCTTTGAAATTGGAAGCCTACCTGCAGATTATCTGATTGGCTGAGGTGCACCTGCAGTGATCTCCTATGGAGAGTTTGTCAGATCTTAAGTCACAGTATATTAGGCTGCCATACTCTATAATAACATCTCTCTCTGCACTTATTCTTAGCTCCACATTTTACACATCCCAAATACCTCTAGTGTTTAGTCCCTTGCTAACACCCCAATATTCAGCATGTCTACATGGCCCACACAACAATAATACCTGCCCCTCATCAAACAGCAGTAACCTCTCTATCAAAGCCTAAAACTATATTTTGGGCTTCAGCGTCTGAGGCCTCCTGCTGTCCTGCAAGTTACCCAGTTTGTGAAGATAAACATTGCAAATTTTAGCGTCTAAGAAAGAAGGTGATGGATGATTCTTTTCACCTGCTTCAAGATGTTTGATGTATGGAACCAGACAAATTTTAAATTTTAAAATGAGTCTGATCATATGTTCTACCAGAGGCCCAGATAAGCTGCGTATACGGGTACAATATGCATAGAAAATTTCCAATTACGCATTGAAAAATAATTGTTGAGTACCAATTACGCATTTAAGATGTTAGATACGCAAAAAGTTTAAAACAAATGCGTAAGGAATATATTTATAAAAATCACTTGCGTAATGAAAAAGACATCGATTGCTATCAAGTTGTACTGTTAGTACTATAGGACAAGTGTTGTACTGTCAGTATAGGATGAGTGATTTTTAATGAAATCATTTCCATTATATTTAAGTTGGTTTTGATTAGGTATGACATGAGGCAGAACATACCTGCTTAGTAAACTTACTCAATGACATAATACTTAGGTGAGTAAAAAGACATCGATTGCTATCAAGTTGTACTGTTAGTACTATAGGACAAGTGTTGTACTGTCAGTATAGGATGAGTGATTTTTAATGAAATCATTTCCATTATATTTAAGTTGGTTTTGATTAGGTATGACATGAGGCAGAACATACCTGCTTAGTAAACTTACCCAATGACATAATACTTATGTGAGTAAAATGACTGAAATACGCACATATTTGAAAGCAGTGGGAAACGGAAAATGAAAAACCCATTCAACATTTATAATACCCACTCCAAAAAAATACAGTGGGTACAGTACCCACATGAGCTAAATCTTATCTGGAGCTCTGTGTTCTACCATATACAAACTTGATCAATTTTGTGTTGATTTTACTTATTAAGTAAAGTTGTTAATGGTTACAATCAATATGGTATAAATTTGTCAACCTACAATATACAGTTACAGACAACCCTACCCATCATGTCTGATGACATTCAGTCAGTACCATGCGTGAAAGGGCATGTTAATGTCACCGCTTTCTTGTCGATACATTGACTTTCTGACAAAATGGATCAGTTTGAAGTGTCACGATCAATTCCCATTATCAGAATCTTTATGAAGGCATCTAAACAGGCCCCGACCCGTTCACCGAAACATTGTATGAGGCAATGATTGATGGGTAAAGAGCAGTAAGGCTTGGTATATACTCCATGGGCCGGCTGTTTCCCTCAGCACCATGTTGCTTGTGTTTGCACGAAGGTAATGCTAGACACTGGCCATATATGTCACACATTATAATAACACTGTGCGTGAGTCATCACACCAGCTATATATCAATGCAAATTGATATTCGGTTATGTGACAGCCCAACATTCAGCTGTTTTCAGTGGCTTTACAGAATTTTCAGGGTGCTTCAAACATGTGGGAGTCCTTTATTGTTGATCAGGATTTGCTGGTGGGAGGACAATCCTGATGGTTAAGTTGCTGCCTATAAATAGAGATGATTTAAGTGTGTAAAGGCTAAGTATATATGTCAGAATGCTTTTGGCCATTCAATGTTATTTAAGTCTGAACCTACACCGAAACTCCACTCCCTTTGTTATAAAGTTGTCCATCAACACATTGTTGTCCTTCCTTAGCGTGGGGCGGTGGGGTAACCTAGCGGTTAAAGCTTTGGCTTGTCATGCCGAAGACCCGGGTTCGAATCCCCACATGGGTACAATGTGTAAAGCCCATTTCTGGTGTCCCCCGCTGTGATGTTGCTGGAATATTGCTAAAAGCGGCGTAAAACCAAACTCAGTCAGTCAGTTCTTCCTTAGCGACCCATCCTCTAAATGCCTCACAAAGAAGTATCTGATGTGGTGAGGTGAAAGTGGGTTTTACGTCGTGCTTGAGAATATTTCGCTCATATGACGACGTGCATGCGTGTGTATGTGTATGTGTATGTGCGGCTACTTGTACTAGCCCAGACTTAAGCTGGTTTTATAGTGTTAGCCCTGACTGAGATACAATGCCACAGTGAAGCATGAATACCCCACTCAGACACATTATACTGACTCCGACCAGTCCTTGTTGTACGCATTAATGCTGAGCCCAGGCAGGGACCAAAAAGTACCATATTTTAATGTCTTTTGGTATGACGCGGTCAGGGATCAAACCGCAACCTTCCGCTCTACGGGCGGACGCTCCAACCACTACACCACGGAGGCGGTCTATCTGATGTGGTATTTGCCTATTGCACTTAACTGCTTTTTAGCCTGCTGCTGTTCTGAAAACAGATGCACATGTTTTTATATACACAAGAGGGACAAGTAATGACAATGTTTAAGAAACTTATGTCACAGTAACCTACTTTTGATGGGAATATCATGGGCGGATCCAGGAATTTTTAAAGGGTTGGCTCTGCCAACATAAAAAAAATCTTCAATGTGGTCTTAAGTTAATTTCGGGGTTGGGGGTGGTGTGTGTTTCGAACCCCCTGAACCTCCCTTCTGGATCCGCCAATGAACATTATGCTATTCATTCTGTTGAAGTTCATTTGAGAGAATGACATTTGATTTGTGTTGCCATGAAAGACTAACTGATATTGAAGGAAAAATTGAGTCTTATTTATTGTGTTATTATTATGATCATAACATTCAAAGCTTTTGTGTTTACCGTAATTGAAGTGTTTATTGGAATTTTGTACAAATTAGCCAATGAGTGGGACATAAGGTTTGCATGACCCTGGTCATTGACATGGTCAGTTGACTATTTCACCGTTTTTGTGTACTGAACTAACCCCTGTGTTGGTATGACATGTTGTCCCACTAGAATTAACTGAGAAGTGATAAGCTGAAATTGAGATAACTTATGTTTCTGTTGTTGACAACCTGGTTATCTGACCAAGTGTCGAGATAATCATATCACATGTACCTCTTGATTGCATGCACAATATCAGGTCACATGTAATCATGCATGTAAAGTTGAACTGATCTCAACAAGGCCACAGTAAATGAATAACTTGTCTGAAGGATCATGTCATCATGACTGACGACATGTTTGTGAGTCATGAGCATGATTTACAGAATCATGCATGAATGTAACATTTACACAACAAGATCTGATACAATACGTAACAACTGACTTGATGACCACTCTATTTATCTGAAGCATGTTATGGTGGAATCAAATATTCAAATGCTTGTTACATTCAATAGATTGATTTTGAACAAGTATGTATAGTGGATGTATAATTATGTTGCATCTAATTGGACTCATCCCAGAGAGGGTACATATGACCCCATAGTAAAAGTGTATTTATTTCTACCACGTTTTTAAACATAGAATGTGTGTTTGTTTTATCTTTGGCGCAATGTGTCATATTTGCCATCATCTGAAAGGACAATGTAAGTCCAGCTGGGGTCCATGCAGGTAGCAAAAGCACTGTAAGTGGTCCCTAGTATAGTGATCTTTCTTCATTTTTTTGCGATTTTATATAATTGGCTGTATTTTATTGTCTCCAATAATAAAATAGTTTCAGATTTACGTGCTAGGTTTACATCTATATCTCTGATATTCTATTTGTTTTACTGTCATTATTATTATTATTATTATTATTATTATTGGATATTTATATAGAGCACATATCCATGCACTAGTGCATGCTCAAGGCGCTGGTATCTTTCCCTCCATCATTGGATGTCAATCTCAACGGCATATCTTATTATCAATTTCAACTCCCTGGGGATCATACAACTCTTGCTACGCGCAACAAGGAGCACCGAATTATTACGGCTGTCCCGTCCTTAGGAAGTACACTGTCCTTCATCGACATGTGATAGTGATCTTACTTTATATATCATGAATGTATAATTTGTTCTAGTCACAATATTGCTGACGTGGCTATAAATTTTAACTCACTCACTCACTCACTCACTCACTAAAACTCACTCACTCACTCACTCAACAATCTGACTCATCATATACAGAAGTAAATGCAGATGAAAATGGTAAGAAAAATCCATTAAACCCTGTGTCAATCAGATTCTTTTGTCCCGGAATGGACAGTGTTGGTTGTGGCTCATTCAACTGTTCTGCTTGTTCTATAGGAAACAGTCATTGATTTGTTTGTGTGTTTTCCAGGCACAGCATGAGTGAGTCTGAGGACAGCTTTGTGTTGTCGGGCGTGACGCTGCCCCAGGATGTAACCGTCTCCATGGTGAACGGCCAGGAGATGGTGATGATGAACATGTCAGCCTACTGTCAGCTGCTAGATGAACTCCATCTGCTCAAGTCGCAGCTGGCCAGGTTGTCTTCTGTGCTACAGGTAACACTGCTAATTACAGGTGTTGACTAAAGTATTGTCGGAAATAGAACCAAACTGTTTTGTTCACATTTATATCTACAATTTATGAAGTTAATATGTGAAAGTGTGAAATATATGTTAAACTAAGTTCGGCCTAACTACAGTCTCAGTGGTAGGGAGATAGGAAACGTAAAAAATTGGACTTTACTGAGGAGAGATTAGTGCAGAAATGATAAATGCAGTTTTTTTTCTAAGTCCAAAGCGACATATTTAGAACAGACCATGGCTTTATGCAAATTAGTGTGCGATGATACTGTATTTCAAAGGACACTTCTTAAATGCCTATTTTGAAACTACACTTAGCTTCGTTATAAATGATAGCTGACGTAAAAAATACTAACTTTAATACTGAAACTATTAAGGATGTAGCTACCATGAAGCCTCACTATCACCATAAAAAGAAACAGGTAGGAGGGTCGCCTCAAAAGCAAAACCAGGATGAGTGTCACAGACGGTGGTTGGGGTTGGGTACTGGGGAATAGAGATATCAGCTAAGATAAGATAATCCTTTAGGGAAATTAAACTGGGGGAAGTAAACGGCATGTCTTAACAATTAACAAATAATATCCAGTCCTGTCTTGCCACCTATGTATTTTGAGACATTTAATACGATAGTTGATTTAAGCTTTTCTATTGGGATCATATTGTTTTACATATCTCAATATAAACATTATGAAAGACACGTAAGATGATAATCAATAGATGAGACATATTCAATACACATGAAAAAAGCATAAAATATCTTTGAGATGACCCCTTGTACCTTGCAGCTGCATGTATGCCAGGTGAGTCGACGGTCCATTTCATACCTGGCTGAGCGACCTTATTGCCATCTATAGTCTGATCTATTGTTTTCAGCAGTTATTCGTATTTTTTCTAAGTTTTGCCCGATTTTACGAGTAAACATGCATTTCTAGATATCCTATTACACATCCCACTGAACGCCCAGTTAGGCCGATGTGGGTTATTTCAACATATGCTACTTGAAGTTGTGTAAATTTTAGGGATACAGAATAACAGCCTAAAAGCAGTTTTTCTATTTCCGACAGTACTTTAGTGTTGAGTTGTGCAAAGATATTGCCAGAATTAACCCTCCCAAACTGCAGCATCAAAATTTTGATCTAGGTTGTATCAAACTGTAGATTCCTTTATGCAATCTTAAGTGAATTGGGGAATTACATGAAAAAACCTACCCCTTAATCTTGATGGTTGTCACAATCATTTATGTGAGGATAATAATAATAATAATATTTTAATAAGATTCAGATGTTCATAACATTTCAAAGTACATCTTACCATGATAATGGCGGCTATAGGATACAGGCAGTATTCCATCTTATCATGATGGTCTGTTATGATCAAGTGGACAAGACAATCAAGTGATTGACATCACAAGCATCAATCCATGAAGCTGGGGAATAATGACATGCAATCAAGCAAGTCACATTATATGACCAAAGATCATATTTCCTCCAGTGATAGATATGGTGAGAAAATAAGATGTCAAGTGAATTCATAGAATTGCTAACAGCGTAAATAATAGCATGATGGGGTGCATCAATCACTATTAACAGTTTGACAAGTTATCAGATGTAAGAATGTTATGCTTCTTGTACTTGTGGTTGTTCTTGTGAAAATTCATGGCATTATCTTTTAGAATGTTCTTTGTACACAACTCAACGTAAAGATTTGTTTGCAAATGTAAATACTGTCGCATACCCATTAATCTAGATTTATTTGGTCATGTTACACTATCACTATATGAAAATGAATTATTATTTGAACATGTACATAGATATATTTAAGCTCACTGAAAGATTTTTGTAGGTTTATTCTTGTATATACTATACACATCCTCTTTAAATACCTTGTAAATTCCTTCCACAAAACCCTGTTGTCAATGTTTTTTATATTGTAAATATGACATATGTAACTTCTGGGAAAGGGCGTTCCCTAAGTTGGATAACTTGTGCCCAATCCATTTCATTTTCGAATAAAATATGTTTAAAGTAAGAATGTTATAGATTAAATTAGCATGATGAAGTCAGTAATCAGATTTTCAATAATGATTCTGTTGACACGATTAATCATCTTTCTTCTTGACATAAATTAGCAAAGGGCAACAACGTTACATCTGCAATGACAGTCTAAATTCAAGTGAGGACAATGACAGTGCAATTATTGAGCATGATTTATTCAGTGATTCATTTTTGCTTCATAATGTTGATATAAGGAGAACAAGATCATGTGTGCCATTGTAGACGTCTAGTCAGTGAACAGGATAGATGAACAGGAACTAGTGCTCCCAGTACAGTTGATAATGACATAATCTGATAAAAGCTGTCTGTCTACTGGCGGTGTGCCTGCTTGGATAGGGTCAGCTGGTGGTGTGTGCATGGTCAGATTACACCGGGATGACCCACTTATAGTCAATCAATCCTTCACTTCTGACCACGTTAAGCCATTTACATCCTTGTCATTAACTCTTTCAACACCAGTCAACCAGAGGCTTTTACTGCCATGACACCGAGTTCCAAGAGACTCTGAGGTCATAGATGAAGCCTATGTTTATCAATGAAAATATCAAATGGGTTAAGCCTTGCATTAAACTGTTTTAAAAGACATATCTGGATTTCTTCAATAGTGGAAGCCTTTCTGTGCAAAATACATATTGTTTTGCACAGTTCTTAATATGTGCTACTAAATTATGGCAGCGAGGTGTATGTGAAGGACCACCCCAATATTCAATATTTCAGTATTATATGGATCATAGTATGAACTATTAAATACTTTAATATTGAAAATTGGGGTGGTCCTTAACCTTTTATGTTGAGTATATATATGATGATGTATTTTTAACTCCACAAAGTGACCACACCACTAACTAGCTGTAGGGCTTTCATTTCACCATGGGAACTGTACAACAATTTTAAACAAAGAATAAAAATGTAAACAGAGATAGTTTTTCATGTTTAATGATATTTTCTGAATGAAAGTTAACCATTTCATAATGTACATTATTTTTCCTTATCCTGACTCATGCTCTTTTGCTTGTCCCCTTCCTCTTGCGAACATAGTGGAACACTTGTATCTCCTTAATTGAAGCTCCCTTCAATGTAAAATCACTAATTGGTACTCACCCACGAGTTACCTCCCCTGCCGTAAGCGCGGGAACAGGTGTCGCCACCCTCTGGCCTCATGCTTCACTCTCTCCTTCTTCGCCCAGTGAGCAGGATGTGAGAGCGCCTGTGTCTCCTTACACACTATATCCTTTGGTTTTTCTTAGTTAGTTACCTATTATAGTTTACTATAAAGGTATAGCTAGTATCCTTCAGTTATTTGCATTGATAATTAATGCGTATTTCTACTGTTTATTCACGGAGTTAGGTGATTGTTCAGCTAGTTTTACATTGATGAAAAACTGTACTATTTGTAGATTGCGTTTTCCGCTCTTGGATCATGTGGTATGCCCTAGTTGTACTAATGCCTTATGCGTTTGATTCACGATTGCAGTTACTGCATAAATTTAACCAATTCTGCCTTTGATAAATACCATCTTTGCGTCTTGAGACGCGTGTTGCAGATAGGTCACGAAACTAGGTGTACCTATACGCCGGATTGCCCATCCAGTCAACTGCTGTCGAGCGATCCCTCCCGCCTGGTGTTCTGCTTGAGACCCCATCGAAGAGGGGCGTGGGATACAGTCCGTCACCTCTAAGAAGCGACCGGCCTCTCCAGACATCCAGTCATCGCGAGACAAAGTCCAAGAGGGCCTCAAGCGTCTTCTCAACGCGAGACTCCGTACCCCCAGGGCAGCGTCATCCTCCAAAGGGAAATCTCTGAGAAGTCATCGAGAACTTTCTCAGCGAGATCGTTCCAGCAGCAGAATTGGGCCTCTACGATGACCAGCCTATCATCATACCCGACATATCATACAAGAAGCTGACCAGTGACAGCGACAGTGGCGTCAGCAGAGATCACCATGCAGCCTGATGCCTCTACACTGATGTCAGACGAGATGGCTGAGGGCCCCACCGCTAAGCACAGCAGAGAGGGCACCATCTACTACGTCGCAGATCATCCCAAAGCGATCTTATGAAACAGATCATGATTATGATGGAAGGCCACTATAGACTGGAGAAGCAGCCATCCCAGGGTCGAAGCCGTAGCGAAGGCTCCAACGTGACAGCACACGAGGCACCATCTGTCAGCGTAGCAGCCACGACAATGCAGCCTTCGGCGAAGGAAGTCACAGACCACCTCGGCGAAGGACCCAGATGTACAGCCAGCGAAGGCCTTCGCGAAAAGGCGGAAAAATCATCACCTTCTTGAAACGTCATACTCAGATCACGGAATCTGATCATCAGACCACACGCATGAAGCCTTCGAAGGTCATATCATCGTTCCCCAGGACCGATCGCATAACGAAGCTTCGCTGGCGTTCGCGAAGGACACCTGAACCCAGATCGTCTTCATCTAAAAGGTCATGGAGGGGACTACACAAGAGCTTCTCGCGGCTACCATCCAGTCCCCTCATAGGTCGCCAAGAAGGTCAACCTATCGATATAGATCACCAAGGCGATAAACAAAGCCTTCGCCCGATCACCACGCCGATCACCTCACAGGTCTGCACATAAGCCTACAACTAGATCTCACAAGGCGTCAAGCCATATATAGAGATAGAGCCACACAGCCCTACATCAGAAGAGCAACAACCTCTTAATTATGATGATGGAATGGAAGATGATGGAGGAATTATTTTCTCAGATGCAGAGATAAGATATTGGATGGTCAATAATCTAGATCTCTCATCACCTTCCAAGAGTGGCAATCACGGCAGACTTATCTGATGAAAGAAGCGATGCAGATGCTATTACATTACCCCCAATCGGAATTGGCGGCGGTGCCTCAGAACCTAGATACAGCATTTAACAAAGCCACGAAGGTTCAGGCATACATCTGCCAAATTTCCAGCCAAGAAGTTCTCCACGCATAATATGGACCCCTTCTTCAAAGCAAGACATCGATGAGAACTATAAGCTGATCTCGATGCCAAGAACAA